CTCGGATCGGGTTCTCTGCAGAAGATCCAACGCGGCAGCTAAACAATAATAGCTGTGGACGGCCTTGGCCGCTGCACCAACAGATTGCGGGACTTGAGTCATCAGAAAGGCCCGAAGTGTTGGGTAGAGGGACAAACCCTCACTAGCCGAACATGATAGCTGTCCATCCTTCAGCTTTTCAACTGCCTTGATGCCACTAGTCCCTCTTGAGGAAACCTTCTTGGGCCATGACAGGCTCTTCAAATAAACAACAAAGTCCGAGAGCCCCATTGCATGCTCTTGTTTCACCTTGTCGATCAGGAGAGGTACCTCGGAATTCCACAAACCACTGACGAGGTAAACGTGCATCCAGTCAAATGACGTCATGGAAACAACTCCAGGAATAGAGCTCATGAAGTTCTCATCGAAGAGCGCCCCTTCCGGCGCAAACGTCAGACCCAATGATTTTTCTAGCTCTTCAAAGGCGCCCTTCCCCATGCCAGGCCTGTCCGACTTAAGCTTCCTGACTGCTGCCATAACTGATTCATCAGTGTGCAGGACACACCGGTCCAGGCTGCAAACGGAACTTGGCACCAACCAGTTAGATTTGTCGTGAACTGCCGCATTCAATAGATGGTTGGTGACATTTTGACAAAATAGGCAAATGAACAGTCCGGAGGAACCTTTGTTGCTCCAGCATTGTTTGAGGGCAGCCTCATCCGCCAAAAGGAGCCCGACCTTGAAGAAACCAAACTTGCAAGGTCCCCTCAAAGGGAGTTGCAGCCCATGCCTGCCATCATAGGGAGGGGTCTGAAACAAGTTGCAGATCTGCTTGAAGATCTGCGAATAATGCCCCGCGATCCGCTTAACGTGGCTTGCGCGGCAGATTGCAATTTGCCACCAAAGGCCATCCCTACCCAACTGACCCTTGAATTCCAGCAAGGACCAGTAGAAAGCTACCAGCTTCCGCTGGTTTGTAGGTTTCAGTTGATCTCCTGGGAGTATTTCGTCGCAGTAGAGTGCCACCTTGAAAGGTGTCTCTGCCGTGTTCTTGCAGGATGCCATGACCCCCTCGAAGAAATCCCGAAACGACTCGCATCTTTCCAAAGTGGCATGCAACAAAGCCCACGGGTTCATGACCGGTAATTTGACCACGCCCCCGTCTGTAGTCTGCAGGTCGACGCTGCCATGCAGGGGGCCTAACGGCGTCATGTTCGGCATTGCCTCTCGCCTGGTCCTCTTCAACGTTGGGCGGCTGATGGCATCAGGCAAGCCATGTTCTCTGACAAACTTGAGAACCGCAACTATTCCACTTTGGCTGACGAAAGCGTGGGAAGCAGCAGCCACGTACACGTGGCGTGACGATCGAGAACCTGAGCTCATAAGACTATATTGCGCGAGCCAACTGCAGGATGACCCTGCGCATGCATCCACGAGCCGTGTTTCGGCCCTGCGGCAAAATGATTCCAACAAAACTATGTGTTGCATGGGTCTGCAAGAACTGTACATGCTGTGTTTCAAATGATCTATGCATTCGTGGCTATATGCGTCTTGTCTTCAAAGGTCACTGCCAGTTCAAATTGAGCCACTGAAGATCACTGAAGTGTGTGTATTGTTCATTCTCAGCTCGCCAGAATGAGAAAGAACATTGTCGTTTGACAACCTGAGATGGTCACATTGCGTTTAGCTTTCAGGCCGCGCCTGATTGGACCAAGGCCTGAATCATGCGTCAGCAAAAACAGAAGCGCACGCACATGGATACGAGATATGTGTGTGTGTGTGCGTTTGTGAAATACCTTTTGGTTGAAAAGAACTCTGGGTGACTGACATGTTTCTTGTTTCAATATTCACTTGAAAAACGTATTGGCTGGCCAAGTCTTCATGATGACAGGACTGTTGTTTCAAAACACGTCTGAAAGGTGTTTGTTCCAAATTGCGTGCACAAAAGCTCTTTTGTGTCAAGGCTTCCACGTGACATGGGAGTACTGCGTGGCACACAGTCTATCTACATTCACAAGCTTCCCAAAGGCTTCACTCCACATCCTCCGGCGCTTCATCGATTAACTGCAAGGCTCGCTGCCACTCAGCGCCGCAATTCTCTTCGTCCTGGATCTTCACTTTCTTGTCACAGCGATCGCCGGTGTTCAAAAAGACCCTGAAAGCCCCCCGAGTTCCGGTGAATCTTCCCATGCCGGTACCACGTCGTCCCACTCTTCGGAGCAGGCACGGGAGGCGGATCCTCCTTGGACCAAATCTTTCTGTCAGCACTTGCCTTTGCTTTAGCTTTAGGCCGAGAGACGTCTTCAGTCTCTGCTTGTCTCTTCGTGGAAGCCTTGGCTTTGGCGCCAGATTTCCCCTTTGCCTTGGCCTTTCCTTTGGCCTGTGATTTCCCTTTCTTTTCAGGCTGCTCTGCTGCAGCTTCTGCCCGTTTGGCTTCTTCCTTTGCAGCCTGCCTCTCCGCCGTGGCTGTCTTGACCAAAGAAAGCTGCTCTTCTGGCGAAATCACTTGTTTGGTGAGTGGCAGAACCAATTCCAAGCCTTTGGGCGATTGTTCCTGTGAATCAGTCTGCGATTCCCCGGCAGCTATGGTTGCTGCTTTGGCGGCACTGGCGGGCGGTTCCGCGGTCAATCTGTTCGCAGGGGATGGTGTCATGGTCACATTGCCTTTGTTGCCAAAGACCTGCAGGTTGGTGAGGAGGTTTGCCCCATTGCCTGCGCTTGGTGAGCCTGCGTTTGATGAGCCTGCGCCCGACCCGCCACCTTGCAAACTTTGAAACATTTGAAACATCTGGAACATCTGCATGGCCTCTCGGCCAAATCCCATTGGATTCGCATCCACTGCATTGGTGGCCGGCTGCGCGGGAGCCGGAACAAGTTCTGTTGACGGAGGTGAGTCCTCCTTCACCCCTTTCGCAGTTTTCCTCAGGCAGCTGATCCTGCCTGCCACCGGAGAAGTGATTTCACACGGTGGGTCATCTGCATCGTAGGCCACTGCTATCAGGGCCTGGGAAGGCTTGTATGGATACGTCTCTATGTGTTCCATGCTCTTTTTACCAGCCTTCCTGGCCTTTGACCGCATCAAGCACTTCAAAGTCTGCAGGAGCTCCAACGATTGCTTGTTATTGCCCAGTGCCACTCCTAGCTCGCCACAGACCCTAAGCTGTCGCGCGACCAAAGCTTGATCATACATGAAAACCGAAATGTAAAGCAGGGCCATGCATCAGTGCATGCTCGCAGTGTGAGATTACCCAGGGCCTACTCATGGCTCGGACGTGTGAACCCTGAGATACAGCAGGGCCAAAACATGGCTCGCACTTGTGACTTGTAAACCCTTCACTGAACACAAAGCCAAGGAGCTTTAAGATGTGGCCTGCAGATGATTCTGTCGGCAGGTCCAAGCCAATGCGCACCATGCGGTTGGCTACCACGTCCAGCTTGGCATAGTTGCTGAGGTTAGCGCTTTGCAAGAGCTCGACGTCCTTGACGCTCAGGTAGCTTGACCAGTTTGACATGGCTTGCTTGGGTCGGGCCGCAGTCGTCGCTTTGCCCCCATGTGACACACGAGCTCCAACTGCAAGCACGGCCTTGCTTCTCCACTGTGGATCAATCTCTCCCAGCTTTGACTCTGTCACCAGCTTCACGATGGCGGTGGCCTCCCCAGGCGACAGGGTGTTTAGCAGCTCCAACCGCCTCAGCATGACGGAAGTCTGCTGCTCCACCACCATCTTCCACGTGGGCTGGTCCAGGACGCTCTTCTGAACATGCAGGAAGTCTGCAGTCTCCTGCAGGTTTTGCGCCAGCTGCTCTGTGGCGCTCATGAGTCGTCCTCAGGATCGACTCTAATCAACTAAAGATATGTTGCCCAAAACTTGGACCATAGTGGCACGTGTAGCGAGCCGGTGTCAACAGGCCCTGCACGTGCTTGCAAGGGCGAGCTTGCGCATGACAAGCCCTGCGTGTCACTGTTTGTTGAACACTTGTTTCTTTCACAAGCTACATACCTCACGCCTCAACCAAAGGTAGAAACTGCTGCAAAGAATGCATCGGTTTCAAAAGCATTACAACTGTGACTGATGTTCTAGATCCTTTCTTCTCAACAAAAGTCAACACGTTTGAAGCGGCTCAATTGAACAACTGTGACTGATGTTCTAGATCCTTTCTTCTCAACAAAAAGTCAACACGTTTGAAGCGGCTCAATTGAACAACTGTGACTGATGTTCTAGATCCTTTCTTCTCAACAAAAAGTCAAAGCATGTGAAGCGGCTCGAACAACCGTGACTGATGTTCTTGACCCTTTCTTCTCAACAAAAAGTCAGTGCATTCGACGCGACATGAACAACTGTGACTTATGTTCTTGACCCCTTCTGCTCAACAAAAGTAAAACTATTCTATGCGTCGTGAGCAACTCTGCTTTATACTCTTGACCACCGCTGTTCAACAAGTCAAAGCATTCGACGCAGCTCGAACAACTGCTGCTGTTCATGCTGTCACTAGGGGTTTGTCGACGTGGCACTACATTCAAGTCTACATTCAAAAACCGCTGCGGATTCAGATGTCAGAAGCCGCGTCTACTACTTCTTCAGGTGCAACTTCTTAAGCTTCATGTTGCTGTTCTTCACTGTCTGGCCACGATGCATAAAGCGTGACATTGAGATGTCCCAAGCGCTCCGATTCTTGTGTTCTTTCAAGGCAGACCGAAAGCGGGAGTAGATGCTGGCCACAGTCTCATCACCACTGATCTCACCGGATGCGAGCCTGAGCTTTCCACCCCACACTTTCAAAGCCTAGCTACTAGATAGAGTGCTATATAGTCAAATGATTGTTTATCCTCTTGAGCGAAAGAGTCCATGAATTCCGGTTGGGACACACAGGGAAACACCAGGGCTGGCGACGTTTACCAGGTGTCTATGATACTCTTACTACATCATGCCAAATGATGTGAGCAACCAGTCTCCAGTAAACACTTTGGTGAAGGTGTAGAGCAACATGCCATCCTGGTCACCATCCATC